TCCTTCTTGCTCATCACTCCCAAGTACCAGTCTCTGACAGGATTAATCCTTGATAAGCACTGGTCTTTGGTATGTAAAGTTACAGAGAGACAATCATTAAGCAATTAGCAGTTCGTTCTCTATATCAACTAGTGACCTAGAATTGTGCTAATTATGAGAGATGTGTGGCATTTCCTAAGTCTTCAGACCTCTGAAAGGGTGCAGTTATAGACAGGGGCTATTCCTAATGAGGGATGGTATTGAAAGGTCAGCCATCAAAAACAGTCAAGGATGCAGACAGGTCTAGTTCTCTGTTGCTGGTACATTTAACCAAGAAGGCTGCCTCTCTCAGACATCAAGTCTTGGTCACTGTAGCATGCTATAAATCTCTGGAACAAGGGGCAGGGTTGCAATTCATGCAAACCTTAAGTAAGGAATATTGAAAAGCCTGACTTGTTCCTTACATGATGTTTTAATTGTAAACTCTTCGGAACAAAGTCTACATGCATTATTTATTTGTACGCTGTCTCAGTGAGGACTTGTTTAGCTGAAAATTGTACATGCTGCTTGTAATATAAAATAATGAATCCAGTGAAGATTGCTTCCTCTCTCTTTCAATGACTAACAGTGAGAACAAACTAGCCAGATTCCTCTCACTTAGCTCCTGTTTCCTATGTGTTCTCTTGCTACCACCCCAAAACTGGCATAGCACTCAGAGCTGACAGCCTTTTAAGGTAGAAAAGATACTGCTCTCTTCTTGCTGACATCCAAAACGCCTGGAGTATCTTCTCCATAGCTGAGATATTTTATAAATTGAGCTAGAGTCTTTGTTACTGCAGAAAAGTTTTTGGCGAAAGAAAAAGAACTCAGCTTCATGTTTATGTAATGTGACTCACTCTTTCTTCACAGAGTCTTATTTGGTAAAGTTGCCTCCTTCATAAGGGTCACCTTAGAGAGCCAGGAGCACAAAGGATGTATGTTATTACATGCAAATTGCCCTAATCATCAGTTTGAGAACAATACAAAATCACGGCCTAATAATTTATTCACAATGTTCAACTAAGCAGCTATTTTCTTTTCACTAATAAATTATGCCATTTCTCATGTGAGTATGTCTAAAACATTGGATATAGGGATCTCACTACCAGATCAGAACTATAGTATAAATACTGTCATTTTTAACAGTATCAGGCAACAGCACAGTTACTGTATGGTGTGATTAGAGGAGAATCCCGTGTCGTAATTTCTTCAATGTCAAGGTGAAGGTAGGAAGTTCCCACTCTGGCCAGTCATTCCCAACCTCCAGCCACAGTGTAACTCTTTCACTTGTGATGATTCAATTGTTTGGGAGGCCTTGCCCTCAAAATGAATCAGTGAAATGATGTGGCATTTTGATTTTCTGAACCAGGTGATTTCACAGGATCTGCTGTAATAATTGTAACATGGAACTGCACTCTTGCAAGGCTCAAAATGTGTTTCTTCACTCCTAGTTCTTTCGGCAGCCCTGCTCTTAAAATTCCTGGATTTTATAACCACCTGTCTGCTGTTTAGTCCCCACTTCTTCCCTGTGGATTGCCGACAACCCTCTACAGACTCCAGATTACCTGCTCATCCTTGCTTATACAAATCAGAATGACCTTCTAACATGAAACTTGTTGCCAGGGGGAACATGCAATTTTCTGTGAATTATCGCCTTGACTTTCAGATACTTGGCTCAAAGCTGTTTCATTATCAGCTATGTGCAAACTGTATAATGCATATCCCTGCTAATCACATCTTTAATTCTTTAGTTCATCGAGATATTCCCCAGGATTGAGCGTTTCTGGAAAATACAATACAGAGCTTCAAAATCCTCATTCAGCTCTAAACTGAATCCCACAGGAGTGATTTAAAATCCAAAATATTATCAGGAGATCTGTTTTTAAATATATATATATATGTAAGATTAGTCTGCCTGTCTAACAAGTCCTAGAGGTAGAAATCAATCCAAGTGCAGTGAACCAAGTGGTTTCATTTTGTGCAAAACAACCTGCTATCCTTTGGAATCCCTGGCATAATTACCAACTATCTCAGCTGCGCTGACTGAAATAAGTTCACCATAAGCCAATCCTGTGTTACAATCTCAGTGCCAGTCTTCATTTCGCTTAGCTTGTTTAACATCTGGTACTGTTTTGCAGTTTCTGCATTAATTAAATCATAGGACTGTATTCAAGAGTGACACTGCCATACAGCATCCCAGGTAAATAGTGAACACTTTGTTGAAAATGAGCACAAACATATAAAACCACAAAATGCTTCCTTCCTTAAACCTAAAATCCTCACTAGCAAAGGCAGGGAGAGCCTCTATAGCACCCAGCGTGTGCTATAGAGGATGTTCACCCAGCAGGCGTGGTGATCAGACCCCACATATCTGAGATGACCCGGATCACAGGGGAGAACAGAAAACCTCCCATCTTAGTTACAGCAAAAAACTTAATTAAAAAGCTTTAGTTAACCAAAAAGCTTAATTAGTTCATCTTTGCTAATGGTTTGTTTTGACCAAAATGGCCTCCAAAGTGCTCCCACAAGCAGTTCAGCTGGCATATCCAAAGGATAGGTAATCCTGGTAACCTTAACCAGGCATTTTTGCAAGCAGCTGAGGCCAATGGTCCTTTACCTGGCACAGCTGTTGCTGGATGAGGCTGCACGCCTGCTATCAAGATAGGCAAGACAAAACAAAACCACGTTTGATTCTTCTCCAACATCTGGGATCCCAAGTATTTGCCAGCTACTCAAGTCAAAAGGGGCAAGATCAGACTTGTTACATGTACAACACCCAGTGTTGCACGCCTGACCTCAGAAGTACAGTTACAAGATGGGGGGGAAAAAAAATAATCACAAACTTCCTCTGTTTATTTCTTTACTAGAGCAAAGCCCAGAAGGCTTTATATTGCAAAGTCATCATAAGAGGTCATGACACAATGAAATGCATCAACTTTTTATTTAGGTGAAGATTCCCAGTTTAAACCTTTCTAAAATGCCCACAACTGTCAAGAAAAAAAAACCCATTTCCATGTGGCGGGTAAGGCCTCTCTCTCTCTGGGCATGCCCCACTTGCCTGCCTTTAAAAGCAAGGACTTCCACCACACCACAGGACTTTTGAAGGTGGGGTTACCAAATGGAGGACTTTTCTGGCCAAGGATTTCCAAGAGAATGGCGCTTCCCTTGTCACCAGCTGTGAGTATTTACTGCAGGAATAGGAAAGTAATCCGTTGGGTCGAGGTGCTCGCCCGGGATGAGTGGCAGCCTGCTAGACCTATGTTGTTACTGCTTCTCCCCGTTGCCTTTTCTTTCGCCTGTGGCTTTCGGCTTTGCTTCCTCACTGGGCAGAGGGTGCTGTAAGAACTTGGTTTTTCCTCTGAGAGGTGCGGTAGGAAACACGCAGGTGCTGGGACCTGCCTTCCTGCGTGTCCTCCCTCCCTCCCTCCACCTCCCCAGCGTCAGCGTGAGGAGTCTGGCGATCCCGTCGCCGCTCCGGAGAGGGTCCACCCCACCATTTCCAAGTGCCCACCCCGTTTCCCTCTTCTCGCTCTCCCGTTCCCCCCAAAAGCCGAGGGACGTCCTAGCTCCTCCAGAAGGAGCCCCAGGCAGGCCAGGGCGCAGCCCCGCCCGCCCCGTCCCCCGCGGCCGCCGGCACCGCCCGTAGGCCAGGCGGCGGCTC